TACGACAACGCAACTCATTTTCCTTCTCGCTCGCACACTCTGCCGCGTTCAGTGCGCGAGCAACCCCTAGCGAGATGTAGAATATGAATGGTACATGTACAATCTACATGTTAGATGTGGAATATACATTGTAGATGTAGATGTAGATAACAGATGTAGTAAAAAATGTAAAATGTAAAATTTTTTTTTTAATTTTTAAATTCTAAAAAATCATAAGGTCCAAATTGGTATATACTGACTGAGTACGGGTATAAGTAGAGTCGCGTCCCCAGAAGCGACTTACACGTTCCTTCTCGTTGTTAATAATTTCTCTAAACACTTTCTTATTTCAATAGCAAAAAAGTCATTTAAGGACAAGGTTTTCGTTACAACATAAATTTCCCTATGCAGACAATTCTCGCTAACATGAACTGTAGAGGTTTTATATTTTAAATTGATGTAAAAAGTAGCACGCACATATAAATGAACTGTTTAAAAATTACATATTTGCAGAAGTGGGATCAGCTTGGGAAGAAATCAGTTGGTGCACATAACAGCACAAACTGATTTCTTCGCAAAGTTCCGATAAACATATCGAGCTGCAACAGCTGTTCGGAAAAATGCACTATTTTTTGTTGCGCTGACAAGTTTTGTTTGATCCAATTTTAAAGTTGGCTTAATAAAAAATTATTTATAACGAGAAGGAACGTTTGAGCCGCTTCTGGGGACGCGACTCTACTTATACCCGTACTCAGTCAGTATATACATTTTTAAGCTTATAATTTTTTAGAATTTTAAAATTAAAAAAAAAAAATGTACATTTAAAATTTTTTTGCTACATCTGTTATCTACATATATATGTATATTCTACACCTAACATGTAGATTATACATTTACCATTTAGATTCTACATCTCCTCCGCTAGGGGTTGCTCGCGCACTGAACGCGGCAGAGTGTGCGAGCGAGAAAGAGAATCTGTAGCGTCAGCAGCGCTGGAGAAGGAGGGGGAACCAACAAAATATTAATTCTTCATTCTGGCTATAAATATGATCCGATATGATTCAGATTCGGCAATCTGGTAAATATGGGCATCCTCTACGATACTGCGTTTAGTTTAGTTTTATCCTATCTTTAAAATTGTGCCTGGCACAGATTTTCGTCCTTTGTGTAATTTGGTTACCCTAACTCTTATAGTCTCTGAGATCGAGGCGCTCAACAAAATGGACGGACGGACAGACAGACGGACATAGCTATATCGACTCGGCTACGTCGGAAACGCTTCCTTCTCTGCGTTGCACACATCCACTTTTACCACAAATCTAATATACCACTTAACTCTTTTTTGAGTACGGGTATAAAGAGGGCATAAGCTCAAATGCACTGCTAATGATGTCTAATTTATGTCATTGCATCAAAACGTCATCTATTTTTTGTATTTTTCAATAAAGATTCGTTTTGTTATATAAATTTCCGTTTACTTTTTATTTCATATGTCGCCGTTTCAAAAATGGAAAAGTCTTGCGTTTTACGAATGCGGGAGCGCCTGACTTTTCGTTTTGAAAAGTAAATCACTTTAGTGAAAGTGAAAACCGTAGCCTGCCTGAACATATTGTATTTAGTATTTAGTCAATTTGGTCAATAGTATTATGGTAAATTGAACATACGGAATAGAAGAACAGAAAGAACAGGCAAACGAATCCAACAAAAAATGTACGTGTGGGCATGACCTTCAATCACATGAAATTCGAAATCAACAGAGACAATTGGAATGGAGACAAGGGACATTGGAGACAGTGGTTCGTTTTCCGAAAACTAGTTGCAAAAATCGGAAACCGTGTTGTTGAATTTGGCAAACATTTTGTTAAAAATCAATTAGGAATTGATCAAGCAATTCAAAACCAACATTTTATTATTTACAAAAAAGTTTTAATATATATTTGCTGTTCAAAAAAACACCATTTTTCTGTTTTTGAAAAAAAATGGAGTAAAACGTGCTTAAAATGCCAAGTTAAATGAATTTTTCTTAAGAAGCACTGTAGCTTGGAGACTTTTTATACCCTTACTCGAAGAGTTGAGGGTTATATAAGATCTGTGGTAATAGTGGATGTGTGTAACGCAGAGATGGAAACGTTTCTGACCCCATAAAGTATATATATTCTTGATCAGCACCAATAGCGTAGTCGATATGGCCATGTCTGTCTGTCCGTCCGTCTTGTTTGTCGCCTAGATCTCAGAGACTATCAGAACTGGAGTAAGCAAATTTTGTTTCCAGACTCATGTGATATCACACTGATACAAGTGTATTTCAAAATTTTGCCGCGCCTCCTTCCGACCCCACAATGGACGAAAATCTGCTATATCGATTTCAATGGTAACAAGGAACTTGTGAATCGCTTCTGCGGACGCGACTCTACTTTTATAATTTGTGAGCTTATGATTTATGTAGAATTTTAAAATATTTTACATTTTAATTTTGTTTGCTACATATGTTATCTACATCTACAATGTCGATTACAAAACTAAAATGTAGATTATACATACAGAATGTAGATTCTACATCTTCTCTGCGAAGGGTCGCGTTTCTGGCCTAACTATGAAAAAATCAACTTTGGTGGTTGATTTTTTTTATTGATTTTAAACACATTCTCCAAGAATATGAAACCATTTTTTAAAACACTTTAACAATGCAGAACTTTTGTCACTCAAAAGAAAGTACATATCTCAAAAACCAGGCTTGAATAGCCCCCTTCGGCGACAAAAAACGTTCACCACTCTTTTATTATAGCTGGGCCTAAAAGATCCTATTAGATGTGAGAACTTGTCTGAGTGGCAGATAATACCTTGATTCAATTTGTTGGGTGCTCAAAAACTCCATTAATAGCCGAGTGTATTTAAAACCAAAAATTTTGAAATCAATTGTTTTTATTTAGTTAATAGGAACATAATGAACACAAAAAATATAATATCATTAAAAAAAATGAATTCAGTTTTTTTTTAATTTTATTTTTTATTCGGGTACAATGGCAAAATATGGGGGCTATACTCTCATGTGATAAATAATAATGACATTTGGCTATTTTGCGTAATTTTTAAGTGATCCTAAATTTATTAACTTGGCTTATTTTTAAACTTTTCAAATTTAAACGAGAAGGAACGTGTGAGTCGCTTCTGGGACGCGACTCTACTTATACCCGTACTCATTCAGTATATATAAACATTTTTGAGCTTATGATTTTTTAGAATTTTAGAAAAAAAAAATTACATTTTACATTTTTTTGCTACATCTGCTATCTACATCTACATATACAATGTATATTCTTCATCTAACATGTAGATTGTACATGTTCCATTTAGATTCTACATCTCCTCCGCTAGGGGTTGCTCGCGCACTGAACGCGGCAGAGTGTGCTAGCGAGAAGGAAAATGAGTTGCGTTGTCGTTTGCAGGAGAGGGCAGGGGAAGCAACTGAAAATTAAAATCTTCATTCTGGCTATAATTATGATCCGATCTGATTCAGATTCGGCAGTCTCGTAGATATGCTCATTCTCTACGATAATGCGTTTTTAGTTTTATCGTATCTTTAAAAATGTGCCTGCCACAGATTTTCGTCCTTTGTGGGGGCGGAAGGGGGCGGGCGAAATTTTGAAATACACTTGTAGCAGTGTGATATCACATGAGTCTGGAAACCAAATTTGGTTTCTCTAGCTTTTATAGTCTCTGAGATCTAGGCGCTCATCGAGACGGACAGACGGACAGACAGACATGGCTATATCGACTCGGGTATTGATGCTGATCAATAATATATATACTTTATGGTACGGAAACGTTTCCTTCTCTGCGTTATACACATCCACTTTTACCACAAATCTAATATACCCCTTAACTCTTTTTTGAGTACGGGTATAAAAATCCAGGTGTAAGGATTAAACACATAAAAATAAAATGTTTTTTAAATTTCATAGACTTAAGGCTATGTGTATATGAACAGATATTTATCTTTCTATATTAAAAAAAAATAGTCCAATTATAACTCAACACCCTTTTTACAGAGGCAAACATTCACTGAACTACTCAAAATGCAGAAGGAGCTCAATAATAACCGTAGTTCTTTGTCGCTTTTTGCTGATAAGCACAGTGTATGTAATTGAAATGCCAAAAGAATTTTGCAAAACGATTTGGTTAGTTAAAGTAACGACTATTTGAAAGTGGCCGTTTTGCTGTACTCGCTTGGGTACAACGCCTTGGAATGGGTTAAAGTTCAATCCGAATTGAAAAGTTAGTTTTTCTCAATTCTTCTAAAACTTCCGGCCTACAAATTTGTTCTATCGAAAAAGTCGCGATATGACCAGTTCTTGCCGACTAGTTTCCGACCAAGCGGGAGACCGCTTGATTTAAACTAACTAGTTTCGAAAATTTGTGTGGTATTTTTTGGGCTCATATTTATATATCTATGATTCGTTCGTCATGTGTAAATTTTATACACAGACGTTGAAGATTTTCTTATACCAATATGGATACGACTCTTTTTAGCCGATTTTTAAATTGTGTGGGATACAAATAGAGAACACCGGGGCTTGCCCACTAGTACATTTACATTATAACTTCAGAATTATATGATTCTGATATACAAAATTTAAACATACATGTCTGCTAATAGAGAGATAAATATCATCTCGTCTCTTCTGTATTATATAAAATTTCCTTGGGGTATTTTTGCCGCCCGATATTTTATTTTCGGGTCCTCTTTTTCTTCTTGTTTCTCTAACTCACACACAGCGTATAGGATGTGTAAACGAGCGAGGTGAGTGCGCAGGGATTGGTCTCTAGGCTGAAATAGCTGCAGTTATCAGCTCTTCAGAATGGCAAAGTTCATTAAAACCAGATGAAGATACTTAATTTATGTGAAAAAGCACGCTTTCTCTAAAAAAATATTGTTTTCAACAAATTATTTAAAAAAAAGTTATGTCGTAGAAAAAAAATAATTCAACAATTTTAAAGCCCGAAATATATCAGTTTGGTTCCTTGAGCAAAAGAAAGTTCAGTTTTGTCGAGTAGTGTAATTTATAAATACTACATATGGGAAAAAAATGCTTACTACTTTAAATAAATATAAAATTTTACTAAGGTATAGCATGCTTTCAATTCTTTGGATAAATAAATATATTTAAATATTAAATCTAGCCTAACTAAGACAGGACCTTTTAACTCGATTATTAGTAAAAATTTATTCAATTATGATTAACTCGAAGTTGGGGACTATTCTACAAGCACATAGTATTCCTATGAGAGAATTTGTCCCTACCACTCTCTAAATTCTCATACAACTCCCTCCACTCTCTCTGCAGAAAAATCAATCACTTTTAAACCATTGATGGTTTTGTATAAGAGGATCGACTGTGATAAATGTTATAATACCCTCTTCAAAGGTATACAATTACTATTTTTGTATAAACTTAAATAAGAGTCGTGTGTCGTACTCCAATTCCTATTAGGATAAGGCTTAACGTGAGATCGGCAAGCAGTCTGGGGCCGTTGGAACTTAGTTCAGCGCTATTTATATATAGGTGATTTAGACAAGTTCTAGCTGGCTTAACAAATGTAGTAAAGTTGGGAAAAATGATAATCTCCGGTGGCTGAAAATATATATTTTAGTATTTAATGGAAAAAAAATAGAATAAATAACTTACAATTGATATGGAATCGTTAGAAACACGACAAAAGGTCATATGTTTACCAGTTATAAGTTCTTGTTCGACGCGTTTAGTAAAAAGTGGCTCAGACCATGGTAATTGATTTAAATGGTACAGAAATGTGCGATCATGCAACTCCACAGGATCAGATATAACCAGTTTGTCTGTAAGTCAAAAGTAAGTGATCACTTATTCATACATATTAATACGTAAATACAACTTACTTAACAAAGACTCTTCGTACAAGAGATCCTCAACTGTCATATTTAAGTGATTTTTCCTGGCTTTCGAAGTTGCTCTTTCGGGAATATAATCTAAGAGATTTCCGTTGTAAAGAAATAAATTTTCAACATCCGTCATGTTTAAAGAAAAGAACTGGGAAACACCAAACATCGCGAAAAATTCTTGAACTGGCGTCATACTGTAACAACCAGCCAACTCAATCTTCGGATAATAAGTAATGAAGGAAAGACACATTTCTTGTTTGGTGGAATAACCTCCAAAGGTGGGCCGTTTCCGCTCGATTGTCTCATAAGCACAGTCCGTGATAATGTAGTCTCCAGGCAGTACGATTGTTTCATTGGCAAGTTGATGAACTTGCTGATATCTGTAATCGAAGTTTTCATCCTCTATAATGCGGCTTAATTCTTTGCCATTCCGAACATGACGGAGGCTCATTTTCCGACCGGCCTGATGCGCATGAATCATTCCAGATATAATTTTAATTCCATTCTTAGGAAACATCTAAATATTATGTTGTTAGAGCTAATCAATTATGCATTTATCATATTTATGCATACCACGCTAGAACATGAAGGTCCACAAATTCCAACACTGCGATATAATTTCTGTCCAGGTGCAATGAGTTGAGTGTCGGATATGGAAATGCCACTGATCATTATCCCCGCATCGTTGGGTCGCAGATGGTGCGTATAATGTATACGAAACCCGGAATTATCTACGGCTGAAAATACTGCATATAAATATTATTCCTCTTTTTTAACCTTACTATGTACCTACATTTTTTTCCATAAGGATTGTCATAATGTATTTCTAGCATGTAGTACTTTACTCCCAATGAGCCTCCCATTGGTATGCCGACGTGAGAAGGTAAAAACTGTCCTGTGGACCCAGTAGACCAAACTGCAACTGGCGCCGAGCAAGAATCCCAATCGCGTGGTGTCAATAGATTACTGTTGCACACTGTACCAGAACTTCTCACCCAAACGTCCCACGAGGCCGGATCCGATCCAGGATAGAATTTCGTTTGACATTCAAATAGTGTCATCTGATGAACAATATTTGTATGCGTTCCCCTATGAAATAATAAAAAAAAAAACAATTAATTATAAATACAAATATTTAGCAGACCATTTTCTTACCCAGATCGAGACAAGAGGGCTTCAAAACCAATAATATGTTGTTTTTCAATTAGCTTAGGGAGGCGCACTATTTTACACCAATATAGAGTGTGCATTGATCGTTCGATCGTTACATTATTTACTGTTACGTCCCATTTGTTGACCGCTGAGCTTTCAGTTGTTGCTCCGTATGTATGTACACTATTTTTTTGGAACATCGGGGAAAGTAAGTGCAATGATTTTTCGCCTCGATTTCGACCGTGTCCTTTTAAGCTGCCATAAACGGGGTCAGTATCACCAAAGGACCAAAGAACTTTTAAAGTATCCCTCTATATGTATTTAGAAAATTTGAATTTGTATATTATTGTTTTATAATATATAATCATAAAATACGTACGGTTAATGGCATATCATATGGATCGCATGTGTCTATTTTACGAGTGAATCGAACATTAGTATGTGTATCATTTTGATAACCACTGACGACGTTGTAGTTTTGTGTATCGTCTTGTACTGGAGCCCCGTTTGGAGAATTTTTCGATCCATGACAGTCCTAAGCAAATTATTTATTTACACAAGAATCATTTAAAATTATGAAACGCGAAAGATTTTTTGTAGTTTTATAAAACAATATCTTAACCATTTTAGGCACAACAGGGATTCATACATATACATACATACATATGTATGTACTTATTTACCTCAGAGCCGGTATTGTTATAACGATCCATCCACATAGCATGTATATATGTATATACGTAGGTTTTATAATAGTTAATTAAATATAGTTTCAATGACAAAACTTACTAATGCATTTGCCAGGCCTGTGACATCATCAACCCACAACAGCACAATGTCCGCAGATGACATACGACCATCTTTTGAGAACCCGAGTCCAATAAAACCACGCGTGTTAACATTAACTTCAAAGCTAATAGTTTTCTCGTTGAGATTTATCCACCATTGAAGCCAATATAAGCCATTGGAGTCCATCATTATATGACGCTTCCAGTTTTGATGATGCATTGAACCACCACCGTCGACCACATTGTATATCCTATTATTGCCAGCTTCAGAAAAACAAAGACACAACCGTACATAAAGGATCCAGAATGATATGAGGATTGGCAACATCATAATAATGTAAAATAATTTTGAATTATATTAGCTGTCCCAAAACACCGGTATTGCGTCTTTTGATTTCGTTAGTGAACTTGAATGGTTAAATGAATTTCATTTAAATTTCAGATGTGTCGAGAGCAATTACTTTTTTGACACAATTCGTGTTTATGGAAAACCAACTTGCATCTTATTACATACATTTACATATGTATGTTAGTTTTGCTTATACTTTTGGCGCCAATGTTTATAAATATGTGCAAAAATGGTCCAACTACAAATACTAACTTTGAAAATCTACCATGCTCAACAAAACATACCAAAAAATTATTTTTTTTGTGCTCATCCCGGTGGAACAGTGGGAATTTTTGAAAGATGTGAAACTTCCATTCCCACTGGCACCATCCATGTTAAACAGCTGATGCGAACAATTTGGTGCGACTTCCAAAATTAAAATTAATATTTATAATAAGGCAATGGTTGTGAATGTAATTTAGCAGCAACATATTTTCTTGCACACGGTTGTCATGTTTCTGGACATGGAGGGTGATGATGAGGCCAGAATACACAAAGAGGGATACGGATATTAGATAAGGTATCTGCGTTGTGACTGCTTCTACTAAATCCAATCAATGTTTTATATACAAATATATATGTATGCTATGTTTTTTTAGAAGCTGTTCGGGACATTTTGGGAAAATGTAACCGAAACGAGGCGTTTTTAAGGAATGTTTTACATCGCCATAGTATTGTACACTTTTGGCTCATTTTCTGAGTACCGAACAGTCTGAAGGCTTTTCGACGTGTCAGCCAACAGGGTGTGCAATATACTGCATGCGTTTTGCAGAGCATTCCCAGAGGATAGTCCACACACTATCTCCGAGTTTTTATGACTGAGACAATTCTGATTTTTTGTTTTTTCCCCTTGATTTTATTTACAAAACCTTATCGACCATCCCACAAATGGATGGTGGATGGTCGCCAGTATGAAAAGGATATAAGAGAATGGTTTGATGTACACCTATTTTAAGCCATAATGAATATTAGAGTTATAATTAGTCCTAGGCTAAGATCAGTATCTGTTCGGTATCTGTTAATAGTTCTTAAGAAATTTAAATCACATAGTCACACCTCATCTCTTATACTGTAATCGCTCTCTCAGTGCGTACCCGTACCCACACATGTATCATTACTGCTTATATTGCATTGCTTCGCCCTGTTCTCGCGGCAATTTTATTTTTGAACGCATCAAATCAAATTTCACGGCCGCGGCCTCTAGTCTTGTAAACCCATCGAACGATAAAAACATTCTTAAATTTACCAACGGAATATATAATTTGTAGATGTGGAGTCAGAGCTGTCGAAAAAGGTCGGCAGCTTCCAACATTTTGGCGACCCCGACGTGATTTCCGTGGACTTATAGTGCGTTAAAAGTGTTTAATCCATTCCATTAAACCAATTTTGAAGGTTTAAAGTGACATTTGTGGAAAAGGTAGCGAACCAAAAGTCGTTGTGGCCGACCGTAGCAGTTCTAGCGGCCCTATATTCGACCCTCTAGAGTCCATACGCACAGAGGTGGAAATGTTGAAATGTTGCGCCAAATGGATGGTTGCGTGGGTTACGTGGGTTAGGTCTATAAGGCTGCTCGATCGAGGTCGAGTTCAGTCGGAGGCAAGTCTGAACATAATGATGCCCACACTCGTCACGGGATATTGTCCGGTGCCTAGAGACGTTTCGCGAACCATCCCGAGGCCTTTATAAAGAGCACCAGGGTCTCTAGAGGCATGTTTGCGAACTGTCCAGGTCTTCGTAGAAGGCGCTGCCGAGTATTCAGTGACGCCTCCCCATGAGTGCAGGACAGTTGCAGAGAAGGTGCTGGATGCTCTCTATTTCCTCCTCGTCCCTGCAGCTGCGGCAGAAGTCATGGTGGGGCAGTCTGAACCTTGTGGCCATGAGGCCGATGACACAGTGCCCGTTATAGCTCCCGTTAGTGTTCGCACCCGACTTTTCCTGAAGCTTAGGAGAGTCTTGGTGTGTTTAGGGTCATAGTGAGGCCAAAGCGGAGGTGTTCCACCTCCTGTCCGATCTCGGTCTTGCTCGTCCGCACTCTCGTTGCCCGCTATGTCGGTGTGACCCGGAACCCACGTGAGTGTGATTGAGTGCGCGCTGATCTGGTTTAGCGCCTCCACCGTATCACGTACGAGTCTGCTTGTGGTCTTGCAGGATACCAAGGCTTTGATGGCAGCCTGACTGTCGACGCAGATTGCTATGTTCCTCGGAGGTATCTCCAAGGTGTATACCAACATAGCCGCTTGCCATACTGCATATATCACCGTCTGGAATATACTGCACTAGTCTGGTAGTCTTAGAGATATGTTGGTTGCTAGTTCCTCAGAGAAGATTCCAGCTCCTGTCCCTTCGGCCGTCTTTGACCCGTCGGTGAAAATGAAGAGCTCCTTTAAAGTTTATTTTCCATGAGAACACAGTAGTCACTCCCCCCGGCCGTTCCACTTTCCTCCTCACAGAGTTTAGTGGCGCGACCATAAGGTGATGGCTTGAAGAGTAGCCTAGCCGCACCTATCTTAGCCTTGCCCTTAAGATGGAGGTCTATCGTTTCCAGGCCTAGCATGGTGTCCAGAGCTGCCTGTGGGGTGGATTTGAGAGATCCGGTGACCCAAAGGCATGCCGTCCGTTGGACTTTACAGAGGTTCTCCAGGTGGGATTTGGTGTTAACCGCTTCCCACCATACCATTCCTATGTCAGGATGGGTCTTATTACCTCTGTATACATCTAGTGGATGATGCGGGCTGTAAGCCCCATGTTCGTTCAAAAGTCTTCTCTACAGGTGTAGAAAGCTGCCATTGCCTTTTTCTTCCTTTCCTACGTGTTTCTCTTCCACGAGAGTTTGGAGTCAAGGATGACACCGTTCCACCAATTGCTGGTAGTTTGAATCTCGTTATTTTATATCTTCGTGAGAACAGCACCAGTTCTGTTTTTTGAGGATTGACCCCCAAACCGTTCTGGCGTGCGCAGCTGGCGGTAGTGCCCAGTGCAGATTCCAAAAGGTCACTGATTGTGGGCAGAAATTTACGCGTTACCAGTACTACTAGATCATCCGCATAGGCCGTGACCTTATACCCGCTCCTCCCCAGCTGAAGAAGAAGGTCGTTGAGGACCAAGTTCCACAGGAGAGGCGATATAACTCAACAATCCCAAAGCTACTCCGCTTATCATATTCGAATCAGAAGATGTCACAAGGGTCATTAAAGACCAAATCTCAAAGCAAAAGAAAGCTCCGGCCCACGATTTCATCTCCTCTAATATTATCACAGAATTGCCGAGCTGTGCAGTATATTTCCTTACTGTGATATTCAACAGAATGATTAAATGGGGCTATTATCCTCAGGAATGGAGGAAATCAGTCATCACAATGATCCATTAAGCCGGAAAAGACACGTCCAAGCCATCATCACATAGACAAATCAGCCTACTGTCTTGCCTATCAAAGATATTTGATTGCTCCGCTGTTTTTCTGGATGTCGCCCAAGCTTTCGACCGCGTTTGGTTAGATGGCTTAATCCACAAAATCAAAATATTAGTTCCACAAAACATCCATGGAATAGTGGAGTCATACCATAGCAAAGAAGTTTCGCAGTGCAATGCAAAGATTTCCTCTGTAAATATCATCCAATTAAAGCTGGTGTACCTTTTCCTTTTGGTGGGTCGCTACCTATCGCATCGTCTCTTCTTCTCCCTACAAACCCACTTAAGCTGGCTTACCCGTCCTCTTCCTTGACTGGTTTTGCGTTCCTTCCGTTGGTCTTCGGTGGCGGCCGTATCGTTGGATCCTTGTGTGTGTGTAGATGTTCGCGCCGAAGTCTGACGTTGTAAAGCTTCCGTTCGGTGCCGCCTGCACACATCCTGGGGGGCGGCAATGGCAATATGTGGCAGATCTCGACCGCTCCTTATCGACACCACTTCGTAATTCCCGACTCGCATCTTTTCTGACGCGTGCCAAGCCGCTTGATACAGCCTCTGCCGGTAACTCAGCCCGGCCCCTCGCCAACTTTGTAGCTTAGCTGCCGAACGATCGGCGATTCTCCATTGCATTTTCTCTCAGGCTGCGCTGCTCCTCTCTCGGCTGCTGTGGGCTGGCTTGGGTTGGCTCCCTGTTTTGTGTTTTGAGTACGTACGCTACAATTGCGTCGTTGGCTCTGCCACTCATCTTTTCTGACGCGTGCTAGCTATGCTAGGCTATGGCTCTCTTTCGATGGTCAGCTCCGTTCTCTTTGCTTAGGTCTGACTTTCGCTCTCTTTGCTTAAGCATATGTCCCCTTTCCGTTCGCTCGGTTTAGGTTGCCTTGCGGGTTCTTGGTGTTGGTTCCCCGACGCTGGTTCCTCGCGGCTGGTTCCGGTGCTGGTTACTATGCTGGTTCCTAGTGATGGTACCCGACTTTTCCCCCAGTGGTCATCGTTCCCATTAACCTATGCCTAGTTTAGCTCTTATTAATTATATTTCAGGTTAAATCGCTTATATCTATAATAGCCTTTTCACACTGGGGACCATCCACCATCCACCATCCATTTCTGGGATGGTCCGTAAGGTTTTGCCGTTCCGAAAATTTCCCAGTTATTCCACCATCCATCTGGGATGTTCCTAATTCTCACGTTTCAGTGCGGTATTTTTTCGATAATTGTCAAATGCAACCATATTTCACAACAAAAAATCGGAGATCACTACGAAAATGTAAACAATGACAGACAGGAAAATATAAAAATAAAACCAAATAACCCCATCAGATCTCACAAAGCACGCAAAAAATAAAAAATATCAAATATCAGCTGCAGGTGGTTTTATTTCGATGTGACATCCATCTAACATAAAAATTAAGTAATGAAATTAATTTACATATATGTATATACATATATTATGGATGATTTTATTGCATTATTACCAATTGCACCAGGCACTAAGGAAACCCAATTTCTTCAAATGCTTGGACACACTCGTCAATTTTCTCTGAAGTGAGATAGTTTTTGGACATGTATTCCTCTGAGAATTCGTTGATGAAATCTCTGCAAAACTCATGCAGGATATTGCAGACGCTGTT